GCTCGCACTTATAAGCTACCCCAAACGAACCCTTACTTAAAAATACATGTAAATCAACTGTTCTTAAAACACACAAATCAAACAGCTAAATAGCTTATCCAAATAAGAGCAGAATTGTCATTTATGCAGAATCAGCTTTTTTCCAAACGCCCAAACCAAACAGTCAGACAGCTTATTTGGATCACATGTTGATCATCAGCTTAAAAATTTTATCTAGATAAGCTAGATAAGCTGCAGCTGGACCCTCAGGCTCTGTTTGGAGCCACATTTTTTTTGTGCGGTGCGGCTTCAAACTACTGCAATAAAAAAAAAATTTTTTTGTCTGTTTCGTAGCTTCGCGGGGGCGGAGAGCGAAAGCTTAGGAGAAACGGGTCTCGGGATGAACCCCACAGCCCCGCATTAGGCCCAATTTTTTCTTAATTTACCCCTCATGGGAGATCATTTGTTACCCTAGCATCCCTCTCCAAAGAAAAGCCATGTTCGCATTTGGACCCCCTCAAGCGAAAAAAGAGCGGCTTGTTCTTCCTCGATCGAAAAATGAAAGAATCTAGGTATTGGGATCTTCGATCTAAAACATTCTCTCCCGAGTTCCCCTGCACCTCTGCTCCTCCCTTTCTTCTTCCTCCCATCTCCATCTTCATATATTTTTTGGATCTGGAATACTTGGTAGCATGAAGGAGTTTTTCTTGGTATATTTTGTGAGGATACGAGGCATGTGTATCTGATTTACATGAAGGAAATGTGTATCTTTCCTCAGATTTGCTTTAACTATGGAGGACAATTTTTTTCTTGCATTTTACCAATACAAAAATGGTTTAACAAAAGATCATTGCATTGTACATTTCATACCACTGATGCATTGTATGTAACCAAAATATGGAGAATTGTTACTTTCTGTTCGAAAATTTAGGGGAGACCTTTCCTTGGGGGAACATTCCGCTTGGTTTATAGTAATGTTATGGCAAGTGCAAGGCCTCTCTTAAGTTGATCTATATATTCTCCAATTTTTTTGAAATGGTTTCTGTCTTTAGCTTCTCTAAAGTTTAGTTATTGTTGCACTTGGTTTTTTCTCTATGACATATATACAGTCAATGTTTTGACTTTGAATAATTTTGGAAATAAGTAAAGATTATTATACATTACTTTGGCTCTGAGTAGATCATGTAAGTAGGAAAAGAGATGTATTTCTTTGACATCCTTTGCTTCAATTGCCAAATCATTCGTGGTATCATATGCTGCGATTGGTACTAATTCACTTTCATGGTATTCATGGTAGACATGTACAACCAACAATTATATTTAAAGGTTGTTGATGTTGGTGATTGAAATTTAAAACTTGTTTACCAACATTGCAAAAAATGAATTCTTGATGCACCACTCTTGGCTTATGAAGTCGTTAACAATGTTGTTGGACTGTTTATCAATTTGTCAAGTGCCTACATTGCTATATTTGTTAAACTGTGATACCAGATGAAATCCTTGTTTTTTTATTTAAGTGTAAGCAATAAATGAAAGTTATTCTTTGGTTGATTGAATGTTAATTGGAGAATATATGGAATCCTTAACATGAATTAGTCATTGTATTTGATCTACTTAGCATATAAACAAATTAATGCTATGGAATTATTTATTTTTATAGTCTTATGTTTCATTGCCCTCTCCCATAACATCACTGTATGACTTATTAGATTCTCTTTTGGTTTTGAAGCAAATTGTAAATATCTGATTTATATCATGCTCTAACCAATTTTCTAAATCATGTCAATGTTATCTCTCATGCCTTCGCTTTATCGTGGTAATATAATGGCTAATAAGTCTAAAGAGATTGGTACATCAGCATAGTGAGAGAAAGAAATAAAAATAATATTTTGCGACCTTTGCCTAAAGGATATTGAACTAGGCAATGAACCTACCACCTGATTCAATAAGGAAGGGTGGCAAAATATTATCAAGAATTTCAAGGAAAGAATGGGCAGAGAATATGACAGACTGCAAATGAAAAACAAATGGAATCAACTCGAGAAGGACTAGAAAATTTGGAAGGAATTGAAAAGAGGATCAATGGGTTTGGGTTGGAACCCAGTAAAAAAAATAATTGATGCCCCAGAAGAGTGGCGGATAGAAAGACTTGCGGTAAGAAAACATTAAACCCATCTAATTTAGGCCTAATCATTTTTTTTATCAAACTAATTGAATGGTTGGATGTGTTTTTCACAGGTGGTGCCTGCAGTGAAAAAGTTCAAACTTGTTGGACTTAACCCCGAGTTCAAGGAGAAGTTAGACCATATGTTTGGGGGTATTGTCGCTACAGAGAAATATGTCTGTGCTTCAAGTGATATAGAGTTTGGTGTTACCCCTGACAATGTGGCCATTTGCCTGTAAGCTGATTCGCCTACATTCCACACCCAAGAGCTCCCTGAAATCCAGTCAATGAACCGGCCTAAGAGATCTCATTTGGACAGTAAGAAAAAGATTGGAGGTCCCTATATTAAAAACCAGATATCCTATCTAATAGATTCTTTGAACGACGCACCCCCCATAAAGTTCAAAAAGCATTAATTCTTGAGGTGGTGGAAATTTTGGAGGAGATCCCAGAGTTTGCTGATTATTTTGATCTATACTTTTTTGGTGTGGAGCTGCAACAAGATTCAGTCCACAGAGATTTTTTCAGAGCAATTTTGAAAAACCAACAGGTTACGTAACTACATCATTCTTATGCCCGCAGAGCTGATTGAAGGATAATCACTTTTATTTGTTATTTTTTGAGAGACCTTTTTATATCTTCACTCATTTATAGCTAGAATTGTAGCTTGCAGTTCTATATTTGCTTGGTTTATTTTTATAAGGAATTGTAGCTGGAATTGTAGCTATGATTCTGCTTCTAGTTAATGAGTTTAACCTTTTTAGTTCTTACAAAGGAAAAGATCTTCATGTTTGTTACAAAGGGAAGAGCATCACACTCATCTTATCTATTTTCTACCCTTGAGCCTATTGTTTGCTTCTTGGGTGTTGTGGTTGCTTTTAATATGATGGGTGAGGTTTTCTGTCAATGAAGTTTGCTCCTTGTCTACTCAAAATTTAAGGAGTTCTAGGGTTTTTCTTGCTTATTCCAGATGGGAGTGAATTTTCTTCATACAGATGGCTATAATGCAGCTGTTGGTAAGGTTCAGGGCAGGCATAAATGAAGTTCCTTTCATCATTTTTCATCAATATGTTTGAACTATGCTTCCCCTTTATATGGTACCATTATCAAAGCTTATTATTAGTAGTAGATATGTGAATAACTTCTCTTCTTTGTGATAGATATACTGAAAGCAATCTCTTTTTATTCATATGCAAGGTGATCAATTTATAAGAATTGTTAGATGTATATTGCTGAACATCTTTTCTCTGTTATCAATTTAATGAGCCTTGCTATACATTAATACACATTTTTAGAAAGATTTACATGCCTATCACTATGTAAAACATAGAGATAATCCATAGCAGCAATGTGCCAAATAAAGTGGATTGCATGAGGATGGCTTGGGGGGTTAATTCTCAAGCAACCCATGTGGCTATACTGCTGTAGTTGGTAAGGTTCAAGGGAGGCATAAAATTTATTGCGTCTATAGTAGTGCCTTTTTTTTTGTTCTTTATGCTAAGGAATTTTCAATGGCAAGTATGATTCTTTATGTTGTTTCAGTTGCTGGTAGGGTTGGTTGGTTGTTTTCTGAATGTTTAGATGGATTCATTCGGACAAAATTTTATCTTTTTAAATAATTGTTCTTCGGTGGGAGCAACATAAGATTTTGATAATTTTGATTTTTTTTTTCTTAGTATTATTTTTTGATGGTCTTATTTATGGGGATTAATGTTATGAATTGTTCCCCTCAGCTACTGCTGAAACTTTTGTTTTTATCATTTTAGATATGTAAAAAATGTCATTTTCTCTTGCATTCATTATGATAAGATTTATTTCTGTTTTCAACATTTTTCATATATTTTTCAGCTTAAAATAACTAGTGGATTTTATTTCGCTTCTTTAAAAAAAGATGAGCTCCAGAAATTTAGGCACATCCCGTAGAATGTTATGCTACTGCAGACTAGAGACTTCCTTTTCTGAGGTCACGACAGGCTCACAGCTACAGTTGACACTTTTACACACTCCTCAGGAGACTCGCAAAACAGTGTCACTTCTTCCGCTGGGCTGATGGTCAGGTCTATTCAACAGCTGGAAGTGATCGCGAATTGATAACATTATTGGAGGACAGTTTAGAAGGAGACATCTATCGCTTTCACGTTAAAGAAAATATCATTATTACTTTACTTGAAATTTTATTAGTTTTTTTTTTCTTCTTCTTAGCACTTTTGATACTCACCGCTAAGTGAGTGGTGTATTCGTACTTTTGTTATATTTTGAAATGAATTTCTGCTTCTGAAGGAAAGTATATTTCAATTTGAAAAAAAATGGGCATATATCCCTTTAATTGGCATTGTATTAAGTTGTCATCGGTATTTGATAAAAATAAGTTAAATTAATTAGTTCATTAATATTATGTTAAATCTAAAATGAAAAATATATTTAATACATTCATGCCACCCAATATAAGAGTATTCCTATAACAAGTTTTTTATTTCGTTTGTTGACCTACTAACATGTTAACATTTTAAAATATATTAATCAATTTCATAAATTTATTACATAACAATAATTAATTAATTAATTACCTAACAATTAAATTTATTATATATTTAACACTTTGAAGTTTCAATAATTTATTACAGAATAAATTTTACTTATGGAGTTAACAATATTTTACTGTATTCTTTTAAACAGTTTTGACAAATAAAAGTAAAATAGACATTTTTTTCAAAAACAGCTGTTCTGCAGCTGCTTTCACACAAGTGCACCAGACAGTCGGTTTTCCCGCAAGAGCTTATTGAGATAAAGCTGTGCAAAACAAAGCCTTAGTTTATCCAAAAAAAAAAAAAAAAAAAAAAAAAAAAACTTTCACAAACGGGCTCTTAATCAAGCGGAATTGGGCAGGACTGAGCCGAACGGCGAAGTCAGGAGAAGGGCACCAGAATTGAAAGACATCCAGGGAAGACGGTATCCCGGCAGCTTTCCGGTTCTTCCCATGTCGTCGGTGTACGTATTGGAGCCTCCCACGAAAGGGAAGGTGGTTTTGAATACGACAATGGGTCCAGTCGACATCGAGCTATGGCCCAAGGAAGCCCCGAAGGCCGTCCGTAACTTCATACAACTGTGCCTCGAGAACTACTACGACGGCACCATCTTTCACCGGATCATCAAGTCATTCCTAGTCCAGGGAGGAGATCCCACCGGAACCGGAACCGGTAATTGCTATAATCTGAGTCATTGGGTTTCATTATTTTCTTCGTCAGTATTCATAGTTAAAACTATCATTAATATGGTGAATTGGATAAAGCTTAAGTCCTACTTGTTGTCTGCTAGGATTTTGTCTGACTATTTGATGTCTTTTCTTATTAGTTATTTTCTGTAGTGTTTTGCTTTATGCTGCTTGAATTTGCTCTGAGATTTTTCATGGGGATAAAAATTTTGGTTTTCTGTTGAACTTGAATCTAACCATTGAAATTTGCTGCTGCTGTTGCTGCTACAAGTTAGAGGTGGCTGGGACTGACAAAAGGAAAACCGGTTTAAGTTTTTGGATATTGTATTTTGTTGTTGTTTGAATAATTACGATCGGAAGAAGTGGAAAAAGGGATTTCACTTTTTGTCACCCAGTTATATATCAAGAAATTTGGAAATATATATTTCCTCAAGTACGGGAGTGAAATTTATAAAAAACTTATGTATTGAGTTGCTCTTGATTTTATATGTTTTGAGGGATGACTTGAGTTTCTAGTATAAAAGATTCAACTATTTGGATGTCTATCAACAAAGGCGTTTGATGAGCTTTTTTGACACTAAAGACTTGTCACAATCTTGGAACCGCTTTAAGAGTAAAAACAACATTTCTATTATACTATATTCCTTATTTCACTTAGGCAGGTGTCCCTAAAGTTAGTCAATGAAACATCATGGGTAAAAAATTATATTTTATGGATAAAAAATGTGACGTAGTTTTGCATAGATATGTTCAAGTCATATACATAGAATAAGGCTAGCAAAATTATTACGCTTAGCCACATGTGCAAGCACTGTCTAGACCATGTGCATGAATGCATGCTATCGATAATGGACAACTTAATTCAATTTTAATGAATGCCATCCTAAAGGGGGTAAAAATGCTCTTAAGATAATGAATATTCCAAACAGAAATCGTATAAAGTTGTAATGCTAGTGTTGGATCTTATTATATCAAAGCCCTACTAGCTCAAAGAAAATATGAAAGACAAGAGAGAGGTCAGACAGAGAAAGAGAAAGTCATTATTAGGACTCAAATAATACAATAAGTGAACCAAAAATTTGGAATAAAAATCAAAGTTCTTGTCTCTCCCCAAAATCCTCAATTTACAGGTAGGAATTTGATGTTTCTTACCCAATATGAAAGCTGCAAAATGAGCTGTAACATGTAATAAGAATATAACATAATGTGGAAAAAATAAAAAACGTTTTGTAGTCTAGTCTCAGATTTATTGGACTTGGAATACTAATTGGCAATAGGATATTGAGTTGATGGGCCCTCTAGAACCGTGGGTCAAGTAACTTCTTTAGGCATTGGTGATGACCTGGGTGGTTTCAATTTGTGAGTTCTGTGATAGCTTTGAGCAATTTCTTCTTGATTTTGGTGGATATCTCCTCTTTTATTTACATGAATGTCTACCTTGTCCTTGGCGGGTAGCTTTGTCATACTTGGCTGGGTGAGCTCTCCGTAATCTAGTTAATGTGTCAGTTTGAACTTAGCCGGCAAATCTGTCTATAGCTCTACGAGCAAGCACATTTATGTATCTGATTGATTAATCCATCTTGAGGGCTTAGAGATATTGTCATGAGCTTAGCTTGACAAGCTTGTTCTCTTGTCCCTCTTTCCGGGGATTCCACTTTAGGGATATTCACTTAAATTTTAAATTTTGTTATATCTTCGGAGGACGACTGAAAAAAGAAAAATAGAATGAGATGATAATTTTTACTTGGAAGTAAAGCTAATACCTTGCACGTCTCTTTGTGCTATTTGTGTTTTTATTTTTACAGACTTTTCTTGGTGTATTCTTGTGAGATATTAATTAACACAATAATTGATATTCAATACTTACAAAAAGTAGGCAAATAATTTAAGGAAAACTTGATGGGACTTTTTTTATAGATTTTAATCTTTTTTTTGTTTTGTTCGCATCGTCATGGTTCAAACCCCTTTTTAATTTTTCTTTTGTTTTCTCCACTATATTAGATTTTGCTTTAACATCTGATTTTGTTAATACTATTGCTAATACTTTATAAAAAAAAAGAGATGAACATATTATTACTTATAAGAATGAATTTAATAAAAGACAAATTAATTATTTTCTTATGTGATGAAGAGATCATCGAGAATGTAAAGATTGTAAGTTTATTCCAAGTGAAAATTTAAGCACTCAACATTGATTATTAGTCAATAGAACTTCTGGATTTTAAGATAAAGAGTTGTAAAATAAAGAATACTGGGAACCATTGTCATAGAATTAGATGGGGGCACCTAAAAAGCATAAATAATTTTTTTTATGAGTAAACTTCATAATTTCGAGATTTGGGATGTTCATGAAGAAGCAAATTCTATGTGGGATAATTAACAAACACTATTAACAAGTGCAAAAGATGTATCGAGAAGCAAACATAAAAGTTTTATAAATAAAAATAATTGATGGTGGAATAAAAATGTTCAAGAAAAGATAAAATGTTAGAAGTTATGCTATTAAAATTGGTTTAAATGTAAAAGCTTAGAGAACTGTGAAAAATATAAAATGACTCATAGGAAGTCTAAGAGAACAATCCGTGACGCTAAAAATCCTGTTTTTATTGATCTTTATAATAGATTAGATACTAAAGAGGGTGAAAAATATATGTATAAACTAGTCAAATAAAGAGAAAAGAAAAGTGAAGATTTAACTCAAGCAAAGTGTATTAAAAATGAAAATAAACAAGATGTTTTTCTTAAAAAAGATATTTGAAAAATATAAAATAACTCATAGGAAGTCTAAGTGAACAATCCGTGACGTTAAAAATTCTGTTTTTATTAATCTTTATAATAGATTAGATACTAAAGAGGGTGGAAAATATATGTATAAACTAGTCAAATAAAGAGAAAAGAGAAGTGAAGATTTAACTCAAGTAAAGTGTATTAAAAATGAAAATAAAAAAGGTGTTTTTTTTTAAAAAAAAAAGATATTTGACAAAGATGAGTGAGTTATTTTAATAAACTTTTCAATGAAGTTTCCATAAATACAATCGCTATTAACGATCTTGATATCATTAATAATAATAAAATATTTTAATTTTACCATCGCATTAATAAAAAAGAAGTTAAGGAGGCTTTAAAGAAAATCAAGGTGGAAAGTCTGTAGGACTTGATGATATCTCGATTGAATTGTGAAAATATTTAGGAGATGAGTTCCTTGGCTTACGAAACTCTTTAATATTTTTTAAAAACTAAAAAGATGCCTTTGAAGTGGAGGAAGAATATTTTGGTCCTCATTTTTAAAATAAAGGGGATGCACGAGAGCGTGGAAATTATAGAGGAATTAAGTTAACATGTCATACTTTAAAGTTATAGGAGAGGGTAATTGAACATAGTTAATATGTATTACAAAAATTTTTCATAATCAGTTTGGATTTATCTCAGACAGTTTTACTATGGAAGCTATACATTTATTGAGAGGTTTGATAGAGAAGTACAGAGAGAACAAGGAGGATCTACATATGATTTTTATTGATTTAGAAAAGCTTATTGTAAGTTTTCAAGAGATATCCTTTAGAGGTTCTAGAGAAGAAGTTGTTCATATGTTTGATTTATATTCAAGTCATTAAATATATGTATACTAGAGTTGTTACTTGTGTTCGAACAGAATGAGGATTGACCAAATATTTTTGTATTTCAGTTAGATTACATCAGCGACGGCTTTAAGCCCATATCTTTTTGCTTTAGTTATAGATGCTTTTACTGGACATTTACAGGAGGATGTAACTTCGTGTATGCTTTTCGCTGATGATATCGTTCTTGTGGATAAGGCCAGAGATAGAGCTGAAGAAAAACTTGAATTATGGAGGTATACATTGGAGTCTAAGGCCATCATTTGAGTAGAACTAAAACTTAATACGTGGAATGTAATTTTATTAGTAGTAGCTCTAGTGACATAGCTGTACTATGGATGATCAAATTATTAAAATGTGTGAATGCTTTTGATATCTTGGACCTATTGTTCAAAGTGATGATGATATAGATGGGGATGTTATTAGTAGAATTTAAGTTAGTTGTTTGAAGTAGTGGAATGCTTCGGGCCTACTATGTCGTAGAAAAGTACTGCTCAGACTGAAAGTAAAATTTTATGAGATGGTGATGAGACTTGCAATGCTCTATGGTGCAAAATGTTTTCCTTTAAAAGAGAAACATAAAATTAAGTTAATTGTTGTTGAGATGGGAATGCTTAGGTGGATGAGTGGCTTTACACTTAGGGACAAAATGTGAAATGAGTATGTCTGTGATACAGTTGGCGTGGCTCCTGTGGCGGACAAAATTAGTTTTCTTAGATGATTTGGTCAAATTAGACATCTACAATCTGATGGTTTGGCTAGGAGAGTAGTTATTTTAGATTTAACTTATATTAAGAAAGATAGAGGTAGACCTAAAAAGACTTGGACATATTATATAAAGAAATGATCTTAATTTATTAGAATTAAATGAAAAATATGACATTTAATAGGATGCAATGGATTCATGGATTAAGGCTTGTTGTTGTTGTTGTTCTTGACTGATAATTTTTTACGTTACTTAAAATTTGTTGATCACTATTAGATGCATCATTTGATATAACTAGCATCGTTAGATCCTTTGATCTTCAACCATAAAACATTCATTTATTTGATTATTTTTGACTTCTGAGTAACGTTTTAGTTTATACTACATTTGGGCTTATGATTCAAAACATTGGCGACTGCATTGCTCTGATGGGACCATAATATATACCTGGATCATATTTTTTTAATAAGCTCAAGCTATCTTCTCTGTCTCAGGTTTAATTTCTTTTTGCGTGAAGATGAATTTTTTCACAAATTTCAGTAAAAGTTCATCTTTTACCCCGTATAAGTAATGCCTTCATATCCTTAATGCAGAATAATAATTACCAACTCTAGATTATAGAACAACAATAACAAACTTGTATCCCATTATAATTGTCAGGTCCAAAGCCTCAGATATGAAAAGTGGAGGGTTTTGGCAGCTGACAACTAGCCTTAAAATTTTGTTGAGAAATCATAACATAAATTCCTTAAATTCTTGTGTACATGCTAGGCCGTCTCTTGAAAGCGACGAGCTGTATGACCTGAATATAGTGAAAAGTGTGCAAAGGTTGCTACACCAGCGTCCGGGTGTAGTGTAAAATAAGTATGAGTTTCCACATTACGGATGAATGCAGGTAAAGAAATTAGCCCATGACACTAATTTTAGGATATGATCTTGGAATGTAGTTACTCTCATTGGTAAATTAATGAACTTAATTGATATTATTGTTCGTAGGAAGATAAATATCTTACGTATTTAATAAACTAAATAAGTTAGAGAAAATACTGAGGAGATTAATAGCTTAGGTTTTAAATTTGGTATTTAAGTAGGAATTGCACCAGAAATGGTTTAGGTGTAATTATAGATAAATGTTTGAATGATAATTTTGTAAAAATGAGTAGAATTGGAAGTAGAATTATAGCCCTTAAGATTGTTGTTGATATTAAGATTTTTAATATTATAAGTGTTTATGCTTCTCAAGTAGGTTTAGATATAGTATCTAAAGAAAAATTCTGGAATGACAAAAAGAATTAATACAAATGATACCTCTTGAAGAAAGAGTTTTATTGGAGGAGATTTAAATGGATATGTTGGTATAGTAGAAGATTTTAGAGTTATTCATGATAGTTACGGTTTTAGAGTTATTAATGAAGAAGGTAGAATTATATTTGATTTTGTTTTAGCATATGATTTCATTAGTGCTAATACTTTATTTATGAAAAGTGATGAGCATTGGTTACTTCGGGTGATGACACGAAACTCAACAATTTGTTAGCTGACTCTCTTCTTAGAACTAGAGGCAGAGACAAGACTAAATTGGGTCGTCCCTCGCAACTTGTTTCTGCGATCTGGCAGTTTTGGTTTTTCTGGTTTACATGTATCTTTTCTTTTTTGGGATCTTTGTGTTGTACCTTGTGGGTTGGGTGCCTTTTTTGGGTTTTTTCATACAGTCTATCTGTATCTTTTCTATTTTAATATGGATTTTTTAAATATATATATATATATGTGTAACACACACACACACACACATACATAAATATATTTAATTAGGATTATATCAAATAAATATATAAATTTAATACTTAAATAATGAAAAGTTAATAATTTAATTAAAATAATAAATTATTTAAATTTTCTACCTATATTTATTGTAGGCTTAAATTTTAAAAGAGTCGAGGCTAAGATAAATTCAATGACAAATTAATCGTTATCGAAATGAGTACTTATACTTTAACCTATAATAATAATTTATTTTTTCTCAACTATTTTGCAGTTAATGACACTTGCACATGCTTCATACTGATTGAGATATTTTTCTTTATCGGTTATATTCTTATAAATGTTGTAATTACTTACTCATATGCGTCTGGTGTATGTTTTATAGTATGCAAGGTTGAATGCGACAAATACACAAACATTATGTTTATATTAATTGCTTATATATGCATGACCGACTATAATGGAGTAATTCATTGATGATACTAGTGAGGAAACACTAAGGTATCCATGCACGTATATGAAAAAGGTTATTGATATTGATGTTTCTTAATAGACACAATTTTAAGATGGTACTCTTATGACGGTTGTAAAGACATGAAATGATATTGATATGCTATTGATATAGTAAAACTTTTTGAATATCATCAAATATTTATATTAGCTTATTAAAAAGTTTAACTAGCCTGCATATTGCTTTCTTTTCACTTGTACTACTATGGTTTATAAGTATGAGCATTCACTGACTTGTTTAGCTCACTGCTGCTTAAAAATAATTTTTAGATTAAATTAGTTGATTAAAAGATGAGCGAAAAAAGAAAAAATGTTTATAAAAGATGTAAACAATCAGTAGCGAGTCGTGATAAATTATAGAAATCAATAATTTTAATACTTTAATTTAATTTAATCAGTAGCTTTTACATTTTGTTAATTACTATTTATAGAAATTAGACATCAATATTTTAACTCACCGTCTGACTGTCCGATCCCACAGTGGTTAATTTTAATCATTGGGCCGAGTCGTGACAAATTATACCATAACATTATTAAGTCAAAGAAAGTGTGGAAATAAAAAGAGAGATGTGGTAGAGAAAGATAAAACACTATCATGACTCAAATAATAATATCTGAACCCAAAAGTCAGAATAAAGAAATTGCAACAGTTAGTTCAACCTGAAATCCGTTACTTATTGATAGGGATCTGGGTTTTGTGCTCTAGATATAAAGCTATAGGATGGGTTGTACATGTACTAAGAATTTAACAAAATATAGCAAATTAAAAGACGTGTAGCTCGGATATAGTCTTGGACTTGGAATTGTAATTGGCCTTCAGATGTGGAAAGTCCATTAAGTCTTCTAGAAGTGTGGGTCAAGTAGCTTCTGAGTTTAGTGATAGTTTGGAGTAGGTTATTCTTGAGTCCGGTGGATATTCTCTTTGTTGTCAATATGTTAGTGTGTCTTATTATTGGCAAGTAGATGAGTTGAACCTAATTAAGCAATTTATATATAACATGGTCGGCGAGGCCCTCTGAACTTGACGGGCAAGTCGATCTAGGCTTATGCAGCGATCATGTTTGTGGATCTGGCTAGCAAATCTATCTTTAGATAGACGTGACAAGTTTTTTTTCAGCTCGGCTTGTTTGCCTTAGGGATATACAATTAGGGCTTGTTTGTGTCTCTATATTTGAGAAATTGCTACAATGATATCTTTGTCATCCATGATTAAAAGGTTGCTTCCCAAGGGTGGCGGATAAATGAGCTGAGCTTGAGCGAGCCCAGGCTCGGCTCTTGTTCGGGTTGTTGAAAAATACCACTATTCGTGTTTGGTTTGTTTATATACCGAACACAAAAAAATTGTTCATGTTCAACTCTAGTCACACAGTCGTAGGATGTTAAGGGTATGTGCGAGATTTAAATCATATTATTAATATTAAAATATTCATTTAAATAAAATTTATGATTTTTTTTTTCTAAATTAAAAATTTTAATTTTTTATTAATCTTTGTACCATTTAGTCCATTAAATTATTTAAACATAATACTCATCAAGTATATTTATATCACACACACAAACACACATATATATAATTTGATTATTTCGAGCTCAAAATGAGCTGAACACGAACAAACAAATCTTTGTTCATCTTTGGCTCGTTTATATATCGAGCACAAAAAAAATTATCTGTGTTTGGTTCATTTGCTTAGCGAACGAATAAAACAAAAACTACTTAAAGAGTCGAACACGAATTTTTCGCGAACAAGCCGTTTTGACCACTCTACTCTCAAGAGAGTAATTAGTAACTAATAGTAGTTATGTTTTCTTTATGATCATTAACTTGATCTATAAAATATTCAAAAGCCATACAAAAATGAAAATTCAGTCAATAACTTTGTAGAGTTGCTCTTCGTTGATGAGTTTCTAATGTTGTGTGACCAGCGCATTATTTTTTTTAGGTTTTGTTTTTTAATCAAGCATTTTGTATACAATCAAATGGTATTTTGTTATCATGACTTTGTTAAACTTTTTCATGCTGTATCTGTTTTTCTAAGGATTTGTATGTATTTTCTGGTATCCCGCTTCTATTTCTATTACATCATCAAATAGGGCAAAACATTGCACTGTTTTCCTAGTAGGTCATTTGCTTTCATATTATTTTTATTTCAACATTTTCTTATACACATTGTATCTTTGTATGTGACTTAAAATATTGTGTGTTTTGTTATCATATACATGTGATATTTGCTCAACTTCCAGGCGGTGAAAGCATCTACGGAGCTACCTTTGCTGATGAGTTCCATTCGCGCTTAAGATTTAACCATAGGGGCTTGGTGGCATGCGCTAATGCTGGTTCTCCCCATTCTAATGGAAGCCAATTTTTTATGACATTGGACAGATGTGATTGGCTTGATCACAAAAACACTATATATGGAAAGGTATGTTTTAATGTTTTAGTATTTTGTGGAAATTTAATTGGAACGAACTTCAATCTGTGCAGGTTACTGGAGATTCCATTTATAATTTTCTCAAGTTGGGTGATGTTGAAACGGATAAAGATGACAGGCCAATTTATCCAGCTCCAAAAATTCTTTCTGTTGAGGTAGGTAGACTGTCAAATAATCCCTTTTTAAAAAAAGTTTTGTGGCTGGTGGAAAACGTTGGCCTTTACCTTTTCATGTCCAATGTTTTGTGAATTAATCCATTTCATGCTTTTAAAAATCTTGTGATTCTCTTGCTTATATTTCTTTATTTTTTCCTCCCTTATTTTTAGTTACAGCTGTCTTATAATGGAAATTGTGAGCGAATAATGGAATTCACATCAAGTCGGGAAATCTTTTACACTATTATTTATTAATTCAACAGCTTATTTATTCCTTAGCAATTTGAGAGCCATTGGCTAAGATTTTGTTAGTCCTCTATATTGAAACTTGTGTTTTAATGAAACATATGTTTTTCCCTTTCTGTCTTATGTTTCTGCGCTGTTATGTTTTTGTTGTTTTGACAGATTTCATGTTATAACACTGAGTTTACTAGAGTCAATGTTATCTTGCTAGGTGTTGTGGAATCCTTTTGATGATATAGTCCCGAGGCAGGTCAGGCTTGTTCCTCCAGCCAAGTCTGATAATGATCAAAATGAGCAAAAGCAAAAGGCTATTAAGTGAGTATTATTCATACTTCAGTTTTCAATTGCAGGTGAAATTCCGAAAATAGTTACATGGATTTGCCTCTTAAACCAAATTTACTCTCGTGGAACTCAAATTCGTAGGAAGCTAAATGTATTATCCTTTGGGGATGAGGTTGAAGAGGATGAGAAAGAGACAAAAAGCATCAAGGATAAGATTAGGAGCATTCATGATGTGTTGGATGATCCCTGTTTCCTTAAAGGAGAACCAACAGAAGATCAGATGGTAAAATCTTTTGAGTATTGTATTCTATTTTCATTGTGCTTCTTTTGTTCATTTTTTCCTGTTATTCACACTATCTTTGAGGCTATTTTGTAATTCTTTTTCATATCAAAGAAGATGCCAGTACTTGTAATTACAAATGCTACTTCATGATTTTTATTTAAGACTATTAATTTGATCAATTTAAGCCCTAGTTTGGGGCTTGATATTATTAATGGAATTTTTCTACATCTGAGTGATTGGAAAAACAAATAACTTTAGTTCAGGAGATTACTATTTGTGTGATTAGGAGGAGGTTGAGGACCATGGATCACTTCAAATCTATTCGCTGTTGTTACTGGATCATATCCACATATCTATCAGATTCAGATTCTGGATAACTGGAAATCAGGTCTCCGTTATACCCTATTCATTTGTAGAAATAAACATAATTCAAGTGTTGTTATTCTTAGGCACAAGTCAAACCAACACCTTCATGTTGAGGTAGAGAAAAGTTAGAATTCAACTCAGATCTACAACTTGTTCTTAGTACATCCACATTGAATGCCATTTACATTGTGTTTCGTTTATAATCATTCCATAGATGAGTGTATCTTTTAAATTTTTTGTATCGGGTCGTCATTTTCCTTTTTCTTTCTGATTGTAATGTATGCTATTTTCAAGCGAAATAAATTTTGTAGTAAACATGCAGAAATGATATGGTTTGCACTCAAACCTGCAAACTTCTTTCTACATATTGCGCTTATCATCTTTATTCTTCTGTTCTTTTTTCTAGAATAGCTTTATTCTAGTAGCTCTTGTTATCCTTGAACTTCCATACAGATGGCGAAGATTTAAATTCCCTAAAAGTAATAATAAAAAAATCTTCTAATTTGTCGGCCTATCAGGAGTATTATTTCTTATTCTGATTTAGATGCAGCTACTAATTTGCTTTAACCTATAATTCTTGGTATAAATTGAGGAGATGATTCCTTTTCATGCAGAATTCTGTGGAAATTGAGATTAAGAGAGGAATCCAGCTGTCAGTCAGGGAGGCATTAACCTCAAAGAGAAATGGCCCCAATAAAGATAAGGAAATTGATATGCCTTATTCTATTGGCCATGATGATGATGATGATGATGATGATGATGATGATGACAAATTTGATGCAAAAATGCGCTCACAAATTCTAAGAAAACGCAGGGAACTAGGAAACATTGTTTCTGGTGAAAAATTTTCTGCATCTGGTGGAAGTAATTTCCTACACTGTGTTCATGCTACAATTTGTTTTACTTTGCTCATATAACATAGTGAAATTATTTTCTTAAACTTGTTTCTACAGAGTTAGGATGTGTTCATTTAGTGCCTGTTTTTTATTTTATTTTATTGAAATCTGAACATATAAGCAATATATCTGGTGCTTAATGTTATAGAAGGAAAATGCTGTTATGATTTCCTGACCTTGAGTTCTTCCTTTAAATTATAATAAAGTTTGTAAACCCAAACATATCTTCTTACATGTATCCTCAAATTCAGTCACCTTTTTTGTTATGGTGGCCATGATGTTATTTCTAGCCATATCCACAGGAGTTCAATTACTCTTCTCTTCATTTATAAAACCCGCCATTTAAGGAATACTGTTGTTAGTTTGCCCTCTGTTTTAATCCATCTCATTGCCTTGCTAATCATTTGCTTAACTAAAAGATGGTTGTGTGTACTCTCCTTGGTTTCATTGAAAGATGAACATAGAAGTGGTTGAGTATCTTTGCCATGATTCTTGTTTTTATGAATGAAACCATATGATTTAAATTTAATTTTTAGCTTGAATGAAGAAAGAATTGTTTTCCAGTTTTTGAAAATATCGATATTTGGGACGACATAACATTACCAATAATTCGTTGCATTTGAGTTATTTACCATTTTATTGTACCTAACATTTGTATTATCTCTTAATGTTCTTATGCTTGGGAACAACCATTTTTTATTTGATATTATTTTGATTCATGTTCCGCTTTATTTGTCTTGTTTAACTATTTGTTCTTTTTTACTAAAAAAATAAATCTATCCCAAATGTTTGTATTAATTGTTAGTAGGGCATGCGTAGGGCTGTAAACGAGCCGAGCTTGAGCAAGATCAGGCTTGGCTCGTGTTCGGCTCGTTCGAAATAGCTCGTGTTTGAAATCGGCTCGTGTTCGAAATTGGCTCGTGAACAATGTGTTCGTGTTCGGCTAGTGTTCGGCTCGAAATTGGCTCGTTAAAATTAAATTGAATAAAATAGATGTAAATCGTGGGATTCAAACCTAGACCAAATATATACAAAATAAGGGACTAACCACTTTACCACTTGAGATGTTATGATTTTTATATAATTTTATTTTTTTTTCGAGCTAACACGAGCCAAACACGAGCGAACAAAGAACTGTTCGTGTTCCGCTCGTTTATAATTCGAGCTTTAAAAACTTGTTCGTGTTCTGCTCGTTTACTTAACGAACGAACCGAACATTAGTTGTTCGCGAACAACGAGCTTTTTTGACAGCCCTAGGCATGCGGCCACTTTACAGTAAATAGTTAGGTAGGGCACGTGGCCAATTACAAATAAGGCCACTATCAATCTGAATTCCACGTTGAGCCAGGGAATGTTGCAGCATATGTGCCCCTCGAATCCTGGACTACAATTTTGGAAATCAAGGAGTACACCAACTGAGCTCATTTGTGTTAGTATATTTGCGTTTAAATTTTCTTAATATTCTATTAAAAGTATTTATGTATACGCTTAGACATGATGGGTTACTTACATATAGTTGTTCTTGTTCATAATGAATGATAAAACAACTTTTTTTTCCCTGTGAACCTTATCAGGCTACCTTTTTTTTTCATTTGTTTTTTCATTTTTTCTTACTTTGCTACATGTAAAAGTGAATCATTAATTGAGGGCCAAGCCACCTTTTTTGGATGTTGGATTATTGTGATTCATATTGAACATTCAAGGATGAAGGCTCATTTTAATCTATTTTTACGCCCATAATTCTAGACATATATGGTTTTGCACATTCACTACCCTGCTTAGCTTACAAACTTTCAAATAAATGCTTCTAATTTTCCTTGTATCTATTGGCCATTTTTTCCTATACGCCCGCAACGCTCATCAGGTTAAAACAAAATTTTCTTCTTAACATACAAACTTAGGAAAAAAAAATGAAGAGCCATAGTATGATTTTCAGTATGAATTGGAAAATGCCTGCTCTACTTAGCCCTAGGGTCATGGCTCTCAAACTTTAAACCTTTTAACAGATGCAAAGTTTAACCATATATTTTGTACCTTTATTTTTGCTGCAGATGATATTATATTTTACATGTCTGCATTGGGCTTGCTTAGAATACTATGCTCAGCTGGGCTTGCCTGTTTGCTCTTTAATCTACCCTTATTTTATTCTAACTTATTCATTGATTATGTTAACTAATCTGTCTTTTTCTTATTGCTTTTATGGTAGGTAAATCCACCAAGAATGGCAGAGTGCCATCTCCAAGGTATAGCTTCTAGTCTGGATATGTGATAATTTGTCTTAGCAACTTAACATTTTCTTAATTAAATGTGAGGGGCTGCATTAGTTTTAATTGCTTCTCATATTGATTGCTGCAGTTATTTTGGTTTGGTGCCTCATGTTATTATATTAATACCGAACCTTATTGTTGATTATTGGTAATAATTTTTTTACTAACCCTTCATAACTTCCCAATCACCTGATGTTATCAGTATCTGAGCATACATGGGAATCCATGCATTACCTATCATCTAAGCTCAGCATCTTGATGTTTAAATCTCTATAGCACATATTTTGTAATTTTTTTTTCGATTCTGTCATTTCCAACAATCTATTTCTAGAATTTAAATTTGTTTTTTTAAATGTTTCTTTATACAGGATAGATCTAATGAAGTTTATGACTTTATCATTTTGCAGAGTTTTCACAATTTTTAATGTAAATAGAACTTGAAAGAGGTATTTGGTTTTTTGGTTTCTGAGAATCCTCTTTCATTTGGCTTTTAACATTAAATATAGTAAGACAAGTTTTTCAGTCTATTTATTTGGAAATTTTGTTCTTGTTTAATGAAATTTTATATCCAAAATGTTTAATGTGGAATCCCTTTTATCTAATTGATCCTGCAACGTATTCCCCATGATGAAAATGGAGTTTGATCAATGTTTGAAATTACACAATTGGTATTGTGATGTATTCTTCCGTGAGGCAAGTTATTAGACTCTAGGCATTTTGAGGCATAAGTCTCAAAATTTAAGCCATTTAGTTATGGAATAATAAATAGCATACTAACATAATAGTGATAAGATAAAAAAAAGATGAAGTAGGAGTGTCAATAGTCTTACATGACTACAAGTAATACTAAATACAAAGTCTCTTCCACTTTTAATACATAAGTAGTCTGTTTTCATATTTTATGAATTCAATTGTATTTCTTAATCTTATCACTTAGAGGTTCATCATTAGAATCATCATTGTAGTGAATTTCTTTCTGTCCGGCCATGGACTAAAAATAGGAAGAAGGGTAACCGACAACAATAAGAGAGGCTTAGAGGAGAAGTGGCGGTAGAGACATTCGCAGGATCAGGCGTGGACGTGAGGGCATATAGCAGGATTTTCAATGTTTAAGTTCAAATGGATAACAGATTAAATAGTTACGAAATAGTTCTTGATGTATTCAGATTTTGGAATATATTCAAGTTTGGAGCAAATTTTAAATTTTGAAAAAAATTTTAACAAACAACATTTTCTCTTACTAATCTGACAGATCACATTTGTGCTTGGGGTTTTTACTCTTTTTTGTTGAGATTCAAATTGCTTTTTATTTAATATTTTTTTGTTGAAGAAAGAATTTTTATTGGAGAAGATTTAAATGGACATGTCGATAGAGTGGTGGAAGACTTGAAAAATATTCATGGTGGCGAAGGTTTTGGAGTGACTAATGACGAAGTTAGAGTCATTTTAGATTTTGCTTTAGCGTGTGATTTTGTTATTACTAATACTTTATTCAAGAAAAGAGATGAACATCTTATTACTTATAAGAATAGATCTAATAAAACACAACTTGATTGTTTTTCTTATAGAAGAAGAGATCGTCGAGATTGTAAAATTTGTAAGGTCATTCCAAGTGAGGAGTTCAGTACCCAATATCGATTATTAGTTCTAGATTTTAAGATGAAGAGTTGTAAAATAAAGAATACTAGACTCATCATCGTAGAATTAGATAGAGGAACCTAAAAGAAGAGGAACCTAAAAGACAAAGACAAATAAAATTTTAGATTTCAAAATTTGGGATGTTCATGAAGAAACAATTACTATGTGGGATAACATAACAAATACTATTAAACAAGTAGCAAAAGATGTATTTGGAGAATAAAAAAAAAGTTTCTATAAATAAAAATTATTGGCGTTGAAATAAAAATGGGAAGAAAAGATAAAATATAAGAAGGTATCTTTTAAAAATTGGTTTAAATGTAAAAACTTAAATAACTGGGAAAAATATCAAACGACTTGCAGGGAGTCTAAAAGTACAATCTGTGATGCTAAAATTTTTCTTTTAGTGATCTTTATAACAAATTAGATTCTAAGGAGGGTGAAAAATATATGAATAAACAAGTCAAACAAAGAGAAAAGAAAAGCAAAGATTCAACTCAAGTGTATTAATGATGAAAATCAAAAAGTGTTTTTTTTAGAAAAAAATATTCAACATAGGCGGGTGAGTTATTTTGATAAACTTTTTAATGAAGTTTTTGAAGATACGATCGACCTTAGTGATCTTAATATCGTTAATAATAATAAAATATTTTATTTATACCGTCGCATTAGTACGCATTAGTAAAAAAGAAGTTGATGAGGCTTTAAAAATTGAGGAAGCTTTAAGGAAAACCAAGGGTGGAAAGTTTGTTGGACCTGATGATATCCCACTTGAACTGTGGAAATTTTTAGGAGATGTGGGAGTTTCTTGGTTTATTAAACTATTTAATATTATTTTAAAAACTAAAAAGATGCCTGAGGAGTGGAGGAAGAGTATTTTGATCCCCATTTTTAAGAGTAAAGGGGATGCACAAGAGTCTGCAAATTATAGAAGAGTTAAGTTGATGTATCATTTATTAAAATTATAGGAGATGGTAATTGAACATATGTTAAGACGTATTACAAAGATTTCTCATAATAAATTTGGATTTATGCCAGATAGATCTACTATGGAAGCTATACATTTATCGAGAGATTTGATGGAGAAGTTCAGAGATAATAAGGAGAAGTTCAGAGATAATAAGGATGATTTACATTTGTCTTTTATCGGTTTAGATAAAGATTACGATAAGGTTCCAATAGATATCCTTTAAAGAGTTCTTGAGAAGGAAGGTGTTGATATGACTTATATTCAAATCATTAAAGTTATGTATACTAGAGTTGTTACTTGTGTTCAAACTGAAGGTGGATTGACCAATTTTATTCCTATTTCTATTGTATTACATCAGGGATCGGCTTTAAGCCCATATCCTTTTGCTTTAGTTACGGATGGGCTCGGATGGTCTTACTGGACATTATCCCTTTTTGTACATTTACAGGAGAATGTACATTGGTGTATGTTTTTTGCTGATGATATCCTTCTTTTGGACATAAGATGAGAGAAAAACATAGGAAAAACTTGAATTATGGAGGCCTATATTGGAGTCTAAGCCTTCATTTGAGTAGAACTAAAATTGAACACATGGAATGTAATTTTAGTTGTAGTAGCTCTAGTGACAGAAGTGTAACTTGTGGTGATCAAATTATTAAAAGGTGTGAACGATTTAGATATCTCGGGTTTGTTGTTCAAAGTGATGGTGATATAGATGGGGATGTTAATGGTAGAATTCAAGTTGGTTGGTTGAAGTGGAGGAATGCTTCGGGTCTTTTGTGTGATAGAAAAGTACCGCTAAGACTGAAAGGAAAATTTAATTATAAGATGGATGGTGGTGAGACCTGCAATGCTCTATGGCGTTGAATGTTAGCCTATAAAAGAGAAGCATAATATTAAGTTAAGTGTTGCCGAGATGAGAATGATTAGGTGGATGAGTGGCTTTACACTTAGAGACAAAATGTGAAATGATATCTTCGTTATAGGGTTGGTGTAGCTCTAGTGACAGACAAAATTAGAGAGTCGTCTTAGATGATTTGGTCATATTAAACGTCGACCATTTGATGATCCGATTAGGAGAGTAGATGTTTTATATTCGACTTATGCTAAGAAAGGCAGAGGTAGACCTAGGAAGACTTGGGCTTATTGTATAAAAAATGATCTTAATTTATCAGAACTAAATGAAAATATGACACTAAATAGGACATAATGGAGAAAAAGGACCCCACGTAGTGGGATTAAGGCTTTGTTGTTGTATTTATGTATTTATTTTTTTTGTGAAGGTCGAATTTTCACTTGTGGCCGCCTGTAACAGACATGAACTTCACGTTTATAGGTGTCTATTATATTATGCATTCTGGTACTAACACTTTTTCAACTCCAATCTTATTGTTTGTGAGAGAACCTCACAAATTACCTTGCAATTTATGTTCAGAATTTGCTTATTATGATGCTTGTCTTTTTTATTTTTTTCCAGGAAGAATAAAGTAGGCCATGATCCAGTGTTATCAATATTGTCGCTTTCCAGAAACTGCCTTCTTGTATGTCTTGTTATTGCATGTTTTGCATGTATTTTCCTTGAAGTGTTTTTGATATCAGAGGGATTCAATTTATTGATCTATAAATTGTCAGGACTAATAGGATTTGCGGTTAGAATAAGGTTTTGGTTTTGTCAGAATATTGATAGAGTTTGCATAAGCTTTGTTAGCAATAAGATTCATCGTCCACTTTATATTCGGCATCCTAGTGTTTATGTTCCATGTTCATATGCTAGAAGCGTTGCTTCCTTTGCTATGAATCTTTACATTACCTTCTACTACTGATATTTACTCTAACATTACCTATATATTTCCATGGTTCTGAAGTAATTTAATTATTGTCACACGGTAGCATGTATTCTCTTGTTTTTCATGGCTGCAGCAGGTTGAACTTTCTCTTTGTTCCAGAAGTGAAGCAAAGAATTTTCTTATTCCAGTTTTGTATGCCTTTTCCTTATGTGAGTTAATCCATTTATGCTTTGCGTTGAAAACATCTTTTATTTCCATTTTTATTTTTTTCTTGTCAATGTCAACTCTCTCTCTCTCTCTCAATCGCTCTCCAGTTCGATGCATGCATTCCTTTCTTTTGCATAAAAAAATTGATAAAACAACAACAACAACAACAACAACAAAGCCTTAATCCCACTACGTGGGGTCGGCTACATGAATCCTTTTTCTCCATTGCGTCGTATTTAGTGTCATATTTTCATTTAGTTCTAGTAAATTAAGATCATTTTTAATACAATAAGCCCAAGTCTTCCTAGGTCTATCTCTGCCTTTCTTAACACTAGTCGAAGTTAAAACACCTACTCTCCTAATCGGATCATCTAATGGTCGACGTTTAATATGACCAAACCATCTAAGACGACTTTCTCTAATTTTGTCTGTCACAGGAGCTACACCAACCCTATCACGAATATATTCATTCCGCATTTTGTCTCTAAGTGTAAAGCCACTCATCCACCTAATCATTCTCATCTCGGCAACACTTAACTTATTATTATGCTTCTCTTTTAAAGGCCAAC